TCGCAAGGCTGAGGCGGAAGGATCGCCGGAGCCCAGCAGGTCGAGGCTGTGGTGGCCGGGCACAGCCACTGTACTCCAGTCTGGGCAACAGAGTGAGACTATAACTCAAAAAAAAAAAAGAAGAAGCGGAGATGGCAGTGTATGGACTGCTCAGTGTGAGGGACATCTAAATCAGGCTGAAATGCCAGAAAAGGATGGCTAACACGGTTTACATTTAAGTCCAACCTAGAAAGCGTTTAGGATTAGGTTTTGTGAAGACTTGTAAGAATGTTCAAGGCTCACAGAACCGTCTGTCCAAAACCACAAAGGCACAGAATCGCTTGATGCTTTCCAGGAACTGCAAATACTTTGGTATAGCCATAGTGGGATGGAGTTGGTACTACTGAAGGATTTTCTTTGAGAAATGGCATTTGTTTGTTGGTTTGGGTTCTTTGTTTGCATTTTGATTGACAGTTCAGAAAAAACACTGGTTGGCTGGGCAGAAGATGGACTGGAAGGGGTGTCTCCCTGGAAGTCAGAGGAGACCACCATGTGCATGGGAAAGTCGTTGGAGTAAAAGTGACAGTTGAACCTATGTGAGTGGATGACAGCATCCAAGGAAAAAGTGTGGAATCATAAAGGGGACAGTACTGTGGCTTAAGGGGTGAGCAGAGAAACCCTCAAACGAGACTGAGAATTAACCAGAAAAATAGAAGAAAAACCTAGAGTAAAGTCACAGGAACTAAAAAGGGAGAAAATTTCAGAACAAGAGTGAAGTTGAACCAAGTGAGTTCTAAAGAGAAATCACCTGAGATGAGGCCGAAGAATCCCAAAAGCAGCATTTGGAAGTTGTGAGGGCGGAAGCCAGATCCCAGGGGTCAGGAAGGAAAGGGCAGGGAAAGCAGGGGCAGCAAGTCCTCTGGCTGTGCTGTAGCCTCAGGTGGGATCTGTCGGCTTCTCAAAGGAAAGGGCTTAGAAAGCGCAAGCGGTATTTTCTGGGCTGCTAGGGAGACACAGTCCATGGAGACTCGGCACTCCTAACCACATGCAGAGGAATTGTTGGGTGGGAGGGAGGGCCCTTGGGAAGAGGCAGATCAGAAACAGCAGGGCCTGGCCGGAGCCCTGAAACCCACGCCCTTCCTAGACCGCAGTGTCCAGTGGGTGCATCTGGTGGGACGGACGCTGTGGCTGGCATTCTGAGGGCAAGAAAAATCCTGCTCAGAGGTGAGAGGAGAAGGCATGAAAAGAAGTTTTTCTATCAGATAAATATTTTCGTGTGAAGACGCTGCTTGGTTCCATAAGTCTCCCTAAGTTTGCTCTTGATTCTGTACAGCTTTCCTCTACATCAAAAAATAAATGACGCCGGGCTCGGTGGCTCAGCCTGTAATCCCAGCACTTTGGGAGGCTGAGGTGAGTGGATTGCCTGAGCCCGCGGGTTCGAGACCCACCTGGGCAGCAAGACCTCATCTCTACAATAAATCAAAAATTAGCCGGGCGTGGTGGCGCGCACCTATAGTTCCAGCTACTTGGAAGGCTGAGGCGGAAGGATCACCGGAGCCCAGCAGGTCAAGGCTGCAGTGGCCGGGAGCGGCCACTGCACTCCAGTCTGTGTGACAGAGTGAGACTCCAGCTCAAAAATAAAAAATAAAAAAATAAATGACAATTTAATCTGGGAAGCTAAGCAGGGTTGGGCCTGGTTAGTACTTGGATGGGAGACAATTGATCAAATTTAAGAATGACAAAAGAGACAGGTGGGTCCAATCTGGGAGTGACAGAAACTGAGAGGCTCTTTAAGATCCTGAGCAGCAGAATCAAGGTTCAAAAGGACCTTACAAATCTTGAAAGACCAAAACTAATAAAGCAAGGACCAGTGTCAAGTTTGACATGCAGGCTGGAGTTAATTTGGAATACTGAATTAATGGCAAACTCAGAATGAGTCAGCAGTTTGGTGGGGCTTCCAAAAGGTAAAAATGTCTCTATTCATTCATGGACTCTGCAGGGGAGGAGTTGAGAGTCCTCCACTCCTCTGAACCAGTGAGTGCTCACTAGCATTCCTCTGAGTTCTGGGCACACATTTTAAGAAGCAACTGGAAGACTGGGGCTGTTTCACCTAGAGAAGAGCAGACTCGGTGAATACGGTCCCCGTCTCTGATTTTCTTTAGGGCTGTCACATAGAAAATTGAGAAAATTTGTTCTCTGTATTCCCTAGGGGTAAAACTAAGAAAGACCCATTCCCCACAGGGAACCCCTCTTATCTGATCTCACTCCTCTGCCTCAAACCATATCCTAGGAAATTAGCAGGGAAGATTTTTAAAGAGCAGGAATAAGCAGTCTGATTCAGACATATGTTACAAAAGTAGGGGATATAATAAAACTATGGTCGAGATGACCTAATCTGCTAGCCTGGGTCAACTTAGCCTTGAAAATTGATATTTCAAAAATAAAAATAAATAATAAAAAAAGAAAATTGATATTTCAATAAGTGGAAAGGAAGATGATGTTCTCAGTGGGAAAAGCAGTGCCCTTAAAGCTGGAGATGGGCTGGGAAGAGTGGAGTCAATGAGGGGGACAGGTGTGAAGTTTGAGGGGAGAGCAACCCAATTTGTGGCCAGCATGGGCACCTGTCTCACTAAGACGAGTAGACATTATTCAGTGGGAACCACAGGAGAGAAAATGAAATTGGTATTTCAGGAAGCTAGCTGATGGTTGGTGTAAGGGATGCAGTGAGACTGGCTTAAATCAAGACAGTGGAGACTCGTTAATTTAACAGATCTTTATTCAGTACCTACTATGTACCGAGCTTTGTTTTAGGCACTGGGGGCACAGCAATGAACCAAAGAAAACCCCCCACTCTTCTGGAGCTCTTATGAGGATAGGCAATAAACACATTAAAAAGAGAATCTCTGATAGTAAAAAATGATGAAAAGAAAATGAAACAGAGTAAAAGGATAGAGAGCAACTTGCCAGAGGGGTTGGGGTGGTCAGAGACGGTCTTACTGAGGGTCATCTGTGAGCTGATGCCTGAACGATGGCTAAGATTTCAGGCTGAAGGAACAGCGGGTGCAAAGGATTCTAAGATGTTAATGAGCTTGGCATGTTTACAGACAGAAGGAAGTACAGCTGCGGCCTGGTGTGCAAGGGAGATGACAAAGGTTTTTCTCTAAGCTCTGATTCAGTCACTAAGTCTGAAAATGTCCCCTGTAAATGATTCTGAAACACCTCCTAATGGTGTTGTGGTCCCCATCCCCTACGACTCTTTTTTTTTTTTTTGAGT